AACACGGTACAGCATACAGAGGACCCCAGTTAATATCAAGATGTCTGTCGCATGGTTATTCGGTGGAATCAAGGTATTGCCAGGCAACAGAAAACTAGCAAAATGTTTAACTAGTGCCTAATAGCAACCAACCGATGTCCGAATTTATGTTGGCTCAAACTCGTCAGTATTCAGTAAAGAAGCTACACGAGTTCTTCTTGGTAATCCGACAACCATGGGTCTTATATTTTGCTCCTTTATCTGAACGTACAGTGAGTGGAAGAGCATCCCTAAACACACTGCCCCCTAGATCAAGTATACCGTGTCAAAAACGTATGGTTGTCTCCAGCAATAGGATGCCGCAAGCTAAAAACTGGTTTAGACCACTTGAAAAATACTTAAAACCGATTGGGTAATCATCGTTTTCGAAAAAGTTTGGTGACAATAGGTTGATTTATTACTTGGCAACGTTTCGCTTTTGACACAAAAGCTTCGTCAGGCCAAATGACTAGGTTCCGAGGTTGGTCGAGATTTAGAGCGGAAGGAGAACCAATCAGCTAAGTCAAGCTACTTACCCAACCTACTTAGGAACATTAGACATACCCGGGGGGTAGGGGTGGAAACCCCAACCGACCACAGGTCACAGCATCCCTCTTACACAACTTTCTTAGCACTAGCTCACCCACACAGACTGACAGAAGGTTCAAACGAAGTTGAAGAGGAACCATCGAATGAACCGACCCAGAAGAACCAGACCCTGGGCTGGACCCAAACACACACCCAAACACCGACCCAACACTTGTTCAACCACTCTAACACACTAACCCCCCCCGGCCGACATTCAACAGAGATTTAGCTTGACTTAGCTGATTGGTTCTCCTTCCGCTCTAAATCTCGACCAACCTCGGAACCTAGTCATTTGGCCTGACGAAGCTTTTGTGTCAAAAGCGAAACGTTGCCAAGTAATAAATCAACCTATTGTCACCAAACTTTTTCGAAAACGATGATTACCCAATCGGTTTTAAGTATTTTTCAAGTGGTCTAAACCAGTTTTTAGCTTGCGGCATCCTATTGCTGGAGACAACCATACGTTTTTGACACGGTATACTTGATCTAGGGGGCAGTGTGTTTAGGGATGCTCTTCCACTCACTGTACGTTCAGATAAAGGAGCAAAATATAAGACCCATGGTTGTCGGATTACCAAGAAGAACTCGTGTAGCTTCTTTACTGAATACTGACGAGTTTGAGCCAACATAAATTCGGACATCGGTTGGTTGCTATTAGGCACTAGTTAAACATTTTGCTAGTTTTCTGTTGCCTGGCAATACCTTGATTCCACCGAATAACCATGCGACAGACATCTTGATATTAACTGGGGTCCTCTGTATGCTGTACCGTGTTGCTTGCCTGTATAGGTGAAGCGGAAATATCTCGGTCTGCATACATCGGTTAAGATGGGCATTTTGAGTCTGTAATGTTTGGTAAATAGACGATATTAGCCCTAACGTGTCAAACACATATAGTAAACGCGTCAGGCCACGTTTGCTTGGAGCGTCTGGTTTTACTGCTTGTGTATTTAAGGTCATAATTTATTAAATCACAGGGTTTAATGCCTTCGTCAGTGATCCCTGTGTTTCCCCACATAGAAGTAGGACGATGTTTGGTGGATGGTCAAATGTGGTTAGTCGAATACTCAGTTAATATCGTGGCGAATTGCTGCAGAACCATCTAGAACTTTATATTCCACTTTCGGCATCAATTGACACTGTCTACAACGCGTAACCAGTGAGCGCCTATACAAGCATAATGTCTTCTGGGCTCCTGAGAGATTCCTCTAGGCTTCTAGGAGTGTTGTCTTTTTGATTGAAGATTTAGCCCAAGTCACTACATCAGTGGACCTTACAAGAACTACTCCAGACTTTTGTTTCAAATTTACTTTTCAGTGGATTTCACTTTAACGTTCTAATTCCGCAGACAAAAAATACACTTAACGTTCTAAAATAGACGTTGCATGCTGTCAGAGGAGAATTCAAATATATCTCGGTAGAATCTAAAATCATTCTGATGTGCAGTTTTGATCTTTTAGAGACAGATGTGTTTAAAGCTCTTGTGTGCTTACAGCGGATTTTGCATACTGTGGAAGAAGGGGATTTTTACCCGTAATTACTTTCGACTTGTGTCAGGGTAGCTTAGGGAGCGTAAACAAATCTTCGCTGTCGTCATATCTTCGAATAATACCAGGACCTCACGGAAAACGTGTGCAATTATAAATTTAGTGTCAATAGGCTCCGCGTTTGTGAGGCTAAAGAACAAAAGATCCAGTTATTAGTACGCCGATGGATGTTAGCCTCCTAATTAACGTTTGTACTTTGCGTTTTAGTTGGCCTTCGAAATCCGGTGTAGACAATTATCATGCAACCCAGATTAGAATTCAGAAGGACCTCACTGATTCTTCAACTACTGATACTATCTATATGCGTGACACGACAGTTCACAGCCTTTGAATCTGTGGAACTTGTGATTGGTGAGTCATTTGTTTGTTCACCGACTTGTCGTACCTCATTTTTTACCTTCTGATTTTTTTGATACTCTGAAACCGATTAGTGGTCTTCGCTAGCCTGACTTCTATACGTTAATTACCAAAGCACATTTTGAGCACAGTCTGGCATTCTCACAATGATCTGCAGCAGACGAAAAGCACTCTTAGGCAAGGCATCGGCTAACTGATCCACCAGTTTGGCAACCTCCATTCAGACGCAACATTAGGTCACAAAGTCCTAATAGATAAGCTCACTTTTGGGGGAAACCGCTTGTTGAGAAGGCGGGTGGGGTGAGGGAGATGCACTTGCACCGTACCGGGCGGTGAAAAACTAACACAAAAGGAGCTCTACCCTTAACAGCAATTCCACCTGCTAGTCATCTCTAGGAGACATAGGGAATTCGTGTGTGTAGTGGGGTAATCGACCACAACGTGATCTGAGTTCAATTGACTTAGATGAACATCTTCCAGCGGCCGAGTTTCTGAACGAGCCCAAGAGACAACAGAATGGTCTAATTTGTAGTGACAAAAAACAAGTCGATTTGGTTCAATGATTTTTCTTGCACTGGAGGAGGAGCATGAGCGAAGTCCAGGAGGTTCATTCTGATCGACCACCCTGGGATTATAATGCCTGGCCAACAAATCCCCCATAGTCTGCGTCATGAGCACGGATTCCAATGACCACAAATTTTAGCCTAAATGTTAGTTTAATTAAGTGGATGTTGGAGGCCAATAAAAACATCGACAGGACTGAGGGTGCAAAATAATTCCTAGTGTTTTCTTAGCTAGGCTTTGACAAAAAAGTTACTGTGATGGCGCGCCGCAGTAATTTTAGGTGTTATACGTGAGAAAATATTACAGTAATCATGTAGCAAAGATAACGATGACAGACTAAGATATTTGATGTAATAATGCAGACGTGATGGTGTTCCTAACACAAAGAATTTGTCACAGCTAGGATCGACAGATTCCATATTCGGGCCCTAACTACAGGCGGGTGAGTAAATGATTGATTACCAATAACACGAACATGATAGTTGTCAAGTTCGTTTCCTTTACTAAATATCTTTCTGCTTTGTCAGAGTCCGTAACTCTCCCCAGTTTAACCGAAGAAAAAACGGCAAATAGATCTTCTGATGATACTATTTGTCCTTCTTGAGACACATGAAGGGGATGAAGTCCTCGAGTTTTTATCAGTCTGATTTCCCTCTAGGAAAGTAACTTGTACATTTGCAAATTAACTTGGTGTTGACGGGAGACTCAAATAAAAGCCTTCTGAATTCCTCGTCTAACAAACTTCAAAATGCTGAAGACCGTGTCAAATAAAACACGAAGTAGCACACCTGGATGGAGTGTATTGTGAACGGCACACAATCATCGGATAGTAAAGTCTTATGAAGTGCGTTTGGAAGTATAAAATAAACTTTATATATTTATGTGTACCATTCGTATTACAAGATCAAACATTAAAAAACTAATGAGACAAGTCAATATAACGCAAATGGGTCCAGGTGTTTTAGAATAGCAAGTAAAAATCTACCGAAGAAATGCTGGAGAAAAACATCTCGTAACAAAGCTCGACTGTGATAAATTCCAGGAAAAGAGAGAAATTCTTAGTTCCCTAAATTAACATTTTAAGGAGGAGGGTAAATGGTTCTTATCAGGTTGAGGATCAGACAAGGCATTAGTGTGAATGAGAGAACCAAATGAACCCCGATAATAGAACCGATAAAGTCGTACAGCCAGTCATTGAACTACATAGTTTCATTGGGGCTGAGTAACACTCAGGCGTCGATGATATGGGGGGAACCATTAAGATGCCGCCTAGACGTTGCAAAACCAAAATGCGTGCATTCAGTGGGTCAGATAACCACAAAGCGAAACAAACGCATAATTTGATTCTCTGCGTTCGCAATGAGAATGAGTGCCCGTTCACTTAGGTGGGCAGTGTGAATCGTGTAGTGCGAAGCGTGGGCGATAAAAATGCATGCACACACGAAGTCGATTGACTTGGGCAGTGTCAGTATAGATGATATCACTGGCGCCGTTGTAGCTGGCGATGAAACTATGGGGCAAATGCATTTTTACACTGATATTAGCGGGATCTCCTTACTATTGGTGTCATCATGCTGGACAGCAGACGTACGAAGCTCCAACTAGATTAAAAAGCACTTCCAGTACTCGGGGAAATGTGTTACTGATGATTCGAGGGTAACGTGTTAAGTGTGTGAGTCTTTATGTGAGCTTGATGTAGCGTATTTACAAGTGACTAATGTATTGAGCTCCTTAATTAGTGTGACGTTTCATCATCATCATAATCGAAAGCATGACATCAGTGTTCAAAACCGATGCTTCACAGCCGTACAATCATGACTTATTTGGAGGCCTTATTGTGAAAAAAGGAATAAAGGTGGACGGGGGAGGGACTTAATGCTAGCTTAACACAATCATTCCGAGGTGCCTATACCTCCACACATTCACTCAGGAAATCTGAATAGAAACTGACAACAAGAACGCCATTGACATCAGTTGGCAGCCATATCTTGTAGTGTAGTAGGCACAGTGAGGATCACGCGGTCCCCATCCTGGAAGGCGAGTAGCACCGACAGCACCCAAGCGTTTCGTGATCTCCTTCATACTCCTC